AATTACACAAAATGGTTTGAAGTAACAATCCTTAGTCTCTGATTAATAGAGTGGTGTCATTTCCAGCCTGCACAGGTAGGACTAGTCAGATTGCCCTGCAGAAGTACATTCTGAGTAATTTATGGTGGATTCTGTAAAGCCTGTGGCTGTGGCAGTCTTTACTGACAGTTGCTACCAGTCAACTATGCAGAAGAGCCCTTCGTAACATTGAGACTTTGTTGGCTTTATAAGAATAAGGTTGCAGAAAGAAGCCAGAGTGGTCTGCATCCCTATTCCCTATTGGCAATTTGGGTAATCCCTTCAGAGGATGGCGTGATAAGACTAGGAGGTAGGAATTGGCTAGGCAGTTAGGGTAAAAAGACCCAAAAGAAAAGTAGCCAGTTTCTTGGCTAAAAGCCTAAATGTCCTTGGGCCTGTTAACCATACTCTGTTCCAAAGGCCAAAAATGTCAAAAGTATTTGGGAGCTTGTAGGTTACCTCTTCAGAGGGGGGAATGTTGGAGGGGAGGGAGTGGGCATGGATTTGATCAAAACACCTTATATACATGTATGAAATTCTCAATAAAGTTTTTGTAAAAGTTAAAAAAAAAGAATACGGTTGAAAAAAAACGATTCCATTTTGATTCTGATAACTTTCACATTTCTTTCAAAGTAATGATGCTGTTACCCAATATATACTAAAAAGAAAAAAGCTATACTTAAATCTGTATAGTTTGCCATAGATGGCTGGCTTTCCTTGAGATTCTGATACTTCCCTTTTGTGAGTCCCTTTACACCCCACGAGTCTGCAACTATCAATGTGCTTGCACCTGGACTCAGCCTTACCCATCGATAGCCACAGAGATTGGCTTTATAGCCTGCTTCTCACGCTGCTTGTTTATTGATGCCTCCATTGCACGAGCACAGATCCTTGTTTCTAATTTTTGTCTGATCTCTAACCTGCACCAGTAGCCAAAGAAACACAAATAATTCCTTGCTGTGGAAGAAGAAGCAACTTAAAAAATAATCTTTTGTTAATTCTTTGAGAATTTCATACAATGTGCTTTGTATTATATTCACCCTCCTCCCCTAACTCCTCTCAGATACCCCCATCCCCGTACATCCCTACCCACCCAACTTCTGATGTTTTCTCTTTTTAAGTCCATCCAGTTCAATATGTGTTGCCCAAATACACATGGGTGTGCGACCATCCCCTGGAGCATGCTCAACACACCCAGCATCACACCCTTAATGAAAAGTAACTCTCCATCTCCCAGCAACAATCACCTGAAACTCCTCAGCGAGGGGTGGAGCTTCATGCCCACCTATCCATCCATGCTGGATTTTGTCTGCCTTCTGCTTGCACAGGTCTTGTGCATACTGTCACAACTGCTATGAGTTCATGTGTGCAACTGCCCTGCTGTGTCTGGAAAACATAGTTTCATCCACCACCTCTGGCTCTTACAATCCTTCTGGCTCCTCTTCCACAATGATCCCTGAGCGTTGGTGAGAAGGGTGTGATATAGATGTCCCATCTAAGGCTGGGCATTCTGCATTCTCTTATTCTCTGCACATTGACCACTTGTGTGTCTACTGTAAGAAGAAGCTTCTCTGATGAAGCTTGAGAGATACTATCTGTGGGTATTTAAAAAAGTCATTAGGAATCAGTTTAATACATGTCCATTTACTAGAATAATAGTAGTAAATGTTCCCTTAAGATCTGTGAGCACTCTAGCCACAGATTCTTGTTCTCAGTAATGGTAACAAGCATTCTATCTGGTAGATCAGACCTTATATCTATCCCATTTAACCCTTCCTTTTGGATCACTGCATTTTTATCTCTCCCTTGAAAAAAAAGTCACATCTCAATTCCTTTGTGATATGGAAATAGGACTTCTTACCCCCCTGCCCCAACACTCTCACACCATGGTCAATAGACAGCATAGATTGAATTAACACCACAAGCACAAGCTAATGTTAACACAGTGATCAACCACTCAGTCAGGTAGATGCTGTATGCTAAATTTCTGTCCTTCCTTCTCCCCTAAATTCAGTATTCAACTCACACATCTGTGAAAACTGAAATACTGCAATAAAGACTTCCCCTCTTTCTAGAACTGCTTTCTAGAATTGTTCTTGTAGGGAACAGTATCTGAATGGATTTCCATTTGGTGTTCACCCCGCCTTCCAGCCATCTCTTGCTAGGATCCAGGAAATCAGTTTTACCTTTGACCTCTAAAATATGACTCAGAATACGTTGTTTACCCTAGTAATCTAAAGGAGTGAATAGGTGAGTGACAGCAAGGTTTAGACAAGAGGGCACATGAAAGAAGTCATATAAAATTTAGGGAAAAATTTAAAGCTAGATTTTGTGCATTGCAGTGCTTTAAGGTTTTTTTAAATTTATTTTTTATTTTTATGAGTATGAATGTTTTGCCTGCATGTATGCAAGTGCACCCATGCATGTGCTGCCCACAGAGGCCAGAAAAGCCTTTGGATTCCCTGTAACTAGAGTTATGAACAGTTGTTATCTGGTATGTGGGTGATGGGAACCTAACCCTGTTCACTATTAACCTTAACAGCTGAGCCATCTCTCCAGTCCCATGTTTAAGCTCAAAAGTGAGTTATTTGTGAGCTTTTGGAATGTTTTAAAATTATTTTTTTCAGTTTGGCATGCTACTTAAGTTATTCATGAGCTCGTTTAAAAATTCTGTACGTATAACCACATGTACATAAGTAAAAAAATGGTACCACATTTTATGTAACACCTACTAACCTGCTATTAACATATACTGAAGCTGCTTGAAAATATTAGTATAGCACTTAAGATTGTGTAGCTTAAAAATAAGAGAATAATGGAAAGATCTCATGCATTAGGTCCTGTGGAGAAATCATTTCAGGTGAATTGTTTTTGTTTCCTATAGCTTTTTTGTAGAATAGCTATGCCATCTATTCATTACATGTGTTGAAAATAAAACGTATTCTGTGGAAGAACAGGATCTTTATTCAAGAGCTCTCTTCATTGATAATTTTTGGGCTTTAAGCTGGTTTGTAGAGATTTATAATTACTTATGTGCATGTGTGTGTCTGTGTGACTATATGCCATTGTGTGTGTGTGCCCCCAAGGTCAGAAGAGGGTGCTAGATCCATGGAGCTAGAGTTTTAGATGGCTGTGAGATGCCTGATGTGAGTGCTGGGAATGAAGCTAAGGTTGTTTGGAAGTATAGTGAGACATCGCTCTCCAGCCCCCTCATTGATAATTTTGCAATTTTAGTTTCATAACCCATGCTTAAAAGAAAATCATATTAGACAAAAGGATAAAAAGTGAATAGCAAAGATATTTTTGCATGAATATAATTATTTCAACATAATCTAAAATTTAGCTCTTCCACATAAGGAAAATTGAGACACCCACTTAGAGTGCACACAGATATCTTAATGGAATTATATTTGTTAATTAATAGGAAAGTTAGCAGTAACTAGTGAGAATGGAAAATATTTTCTTATGCAGAGATTCACTTAAAAATGGTTAGAAAAAAATGGTTAGAAACATCAAAATTAAGCAACTTGAGTGCTCCAAACAAGAACAAATTGAAAGACATAGACTGAATTTTTTAAAATCCTTGAAAATATTTTTTTATAAAACCTTTTCCTGGGGCTGGAGAGATGACTCAATAATTTAGAGCACTGATTTCTCTTGCAGAGGATCTGGATTCAGTTCCCAGCACCAACATGGCTGCTAACAACCCTCCTCTATAATTCCAGTTGAGATGGCTCCCACACCCTCTTTTAACTTCCCTTTTGACTTCTGTGGGCATTTCACAGCATAGGTACACTTGCAAACATGCAGGTAATACACTCATACATATAAAATATAATAAAAATTATAAAGAAAATATTAAAAAACATTTTCTTACCCAAGTTCATATATCTTTTTACATGCGTTTAAAGTTTCTACATCTGACTTATTAAATCTATATTTCAATGTGACTTGTTTAGGAATAACTTTTGAATTAGTAAAATATGGCATAGACATGGAAACAATACAAAATTCAAGTGTAAGTAGTAGCCAATGAATTCATTTTGTCGTTTCTTTTCAAATTAAAAGTAATTGAAATCCATGTTCTTGAAAAATTTTGTATTTTGTGTATTAAGTATTATCGATGCTAATTAAATGAATACGACCTTGTTTGGTTCCTTCAGCAGTACATTGTCCTCCAGCTTAATGGAATATTTGCTAAATTATTCTAACCAGATTATCCATTAAATATACAATGAGGAAACTACATCAAAGTAAGATGTGAAATAAGGTCTTAGCTTGTGCACTGGGGATACTTCTGCCCAGGTCGCCTGTGAATTAATTTATTTAACTAATTTAATTAGTTAAGTAAGTGTGCATATCTAAACTTGATGGATGCAATTTAAGTATTCCATTGCTTTATCACATTCGGAATTTACAGCAACCCCTTAAGGCGGCCATTGTATATATGCATGCATGCAAGTATTTTACTATTTTATTATTTATTTATTTATTTATTTATTTATTTATTTATTTATTTATTTTTCAGAAGAAACTGACGCCTGGAGCTTGTGAGGTTCATGTCCTCCCAGAAGTGAAGAGAAAGGGCGCCAAGAATCAACCATGCAGCTCGATTCTGGGACTGCACACGTCACTACCGCGTTATTCTGTCCCTTATACTGACACTCTGGTCCAATTCACAGATTCCGATTCCTAAACTGGCCGCAGGAGCCGTGTGCTTTGCGTCACGCAATGCCTGCAGACAAAGACAGGGAGAGCAAGAGCAGGCTAGGTTCTGGGGCCTGGCGGGAGTGGGTGGGTCGTCTCCTAGGCAACAGCCTTAGCTCACAGGCACAGATACCACACCCCTCTTCCAACACCTGAAAGGGTGATGTCACTTCCTAGGCCGTGACGGTTGCCCTGGCGACGCAGTCCGGAGGGTGGTGTTGGGTACCCGAGAGACTAGGCGGTGGGAAGTCACTTCCTCTCAGGGACGCTGTTGCCTAGCAACCTACTTCCACCTCCATCTTTTGCCCCGCCCACTGCTTACTCCAGTGCGGGGTTTCAGAGTCCTCCAGGCCCGGGCTTGGGAGAGGTCGGTGCGGGAAGCCAGGGCTGGGTCCTCAGGTTGCGGGATTCCGGGTGCAGAGGGGCCGGGTGGATGCAGATGGCGCGGGCCGTGAGGGCTGCGGACGAAACCGGGTGACCGCGCGGGGTGCACGCGGACCTGCCGCGTGCTGGGCCTGGGCGCGGCGCGGGGACGCGGAAGCCACCTGGCCGGGTGCGGGGCGGTGGCCGGGACCAGTGTGGGCTTCCAGCGGCGCGGGAGCGGCCAACTGTGACTCTCATGCAGCCTGGTGCAGAGGCGTCCTTGTGTCTTGTTGGAATTATTTTGTAAAAGCGCAAAGTGGCTTGAGAAAATGTCGCTGCTATTTGTGAATAAACCTTGTCATTGAATGCAGTTAAATGCAAACTGTTTTCTTGTGCAGGGAAAGGTTCTGTAAGTTTTACCCTGACAGGTGTCTTTGTAGCGTTTTAAGTAAGTCGTGGTGGTTTTATAGGAATGCTATACTTTATGGATAGTGGAGAGATGAGAAATAGGGTACTCTGTGTCTGGCAATATTTGGCATTATTGCAGTCGTTTATTCATCCTTAAGATAATTGCAAAATGGTTACCTCCGTTTGTATTTTCCTGAAAACAAATTTGTTGAGATAATTTTATGTGGTTTTAGTATGGCTTTACAAGAACTCTTTACATTTTTAGATGATAAGGAGTTCATGAGGGGCATCGCTTACATGTTTTCTGGGGAGAAATGGAGGCACTAATTGGAGTAAGAATGTAAAAACAATTATCTTTTTGTTTATTTCAGCCACTGCCAATGGTTGAATAAATTATTCCAATTATTTGTTAACTATTGTTTAAAAATAGAGAAAAAGGATACACTATGTCTGATGAAGTTTTCAGCACAACTTTGGCATATACAAAGAGTCCAAAAGTTACAAAAAGAACTTCATTTCAGGTAAAATATTTCAAAGCATTTCCATTTTAAAGGATTTTGTAATGTTTTACACCCTGGTTCTCAGAATGGTTCTAAGTAAATCAGGAGAAAATGTTATTTCTTCCGTGGTGTAACAGATGATCTGTCTTGTTTGGACTCCTTTGTTAAAATTCTCTTGTAGCTGCCAGGACCCTTAACTTGAAAGTATGGCTGGATTATTTCCCTGTAAAAACTTCATTTTTCTACTGCAATACTTTTTAACTGTTGGATCACAACAATTTTGAGCTCATCTTCTAAATTTGCAATATTAATTATATACATTTCCACAATCTGTTTTAAAAGTACCAGTATAGAGCTGAGGCTGTGATTCAGTGGTAGACTGTGTGCTTATCATGCTGGAACCCAAAGCCCTACACCCCCAACACATTCAAGTTTCTAACAAAATCTCAATTTCCTTTTTAAACGTTTTATTTTTACGTGCATGTGTGTATTTGCATATATGTGCACATGTGTGTTGCCCTTAGAGACCAGAAGCTGAAGTTACAGGCAGTTTTGAACTGTATGACATAGGTACAAGAACCCAAACTTAGGTCTACTGGAAGAGCAGCAAGTGCTCTTAACACTGAGCCATCTCTCCAGCCCCAAAATGTCAGTTTTTAATAAATCCTATCTATATGGAGGCCCCTCTCATTTAATTCACTTTAACTAAAATTACAATTTATCTAATATTAGCACTTCCTGTTTAATTGCAGACCCCATAGTAGAGGACACCAATTTCCATGTTTTGTTATAAGCCTGATGACTTGAGTGAAAAGCACAAAATAGGCTTGGAGTGAATGTTACATGAATGAAACTTACATTTAAAAGCAAAATAATCGACTGTTATTTGTTTAAAAAATTAATTCTAAGTTTGAGACATCCCTGCTTGAATGAAAATTGATTTATTGATCTCATTTTAGGATGAGCTGATCAGAGCAATTACAGCCCGGTCAGCTAGGCAGAGGAGTTCTGAGTACTCGGATGACTTTGACAGTGATGAGATCGGTATGTGAGAAAATGGAAAAGTTAACTACTTTCCTGTTTTTTGCTTTGTAGTGTTTATTCCCTAACTTTGTATGTTAAAATAATAGTCGGGTGTGGTGGCGCACGCCTGTAGTCCCAGCACTTGGGAGGCCGAAGCAGGCAGATCTCTGTGAGTTCAAGGCCAGCCTGGTCTATATAGTGAGTTCCAGGACATCTGGGGCTACAGGGAGACCCTGCTTCGAAAAGAAAAAATACTAATAATACATGTGAATACACTAGTTTTATAATTCTGTATGTGTAATAAATTTGAAAGTCTTCATTTTTAAAAAGTTTTAAAGTATCCTTAGTTTTTCCTGAATGTGTACTTGAAAATATAAATAATTACCAGGCTTGCAATAAATTGAAGGCTTAGGCATAAGCTACATTAGGAAAACAGGTTCCTCCTGAAGGTCAACTTTAAGAACTCTATGGCCACATAGCAACCAGAGCCCATGGGGCTAAATGTTGTAGCACTGAGTGATGCTTTCTGTATGCCAGCTTTGTGGTCTGTGGTAGTGGATTGTTTTGAAAAACAGACCCTTTACATTGCATATATCTACATGCGATTTAACTTGGCTTCTTTTATGTAGATAAAAACATTATACTTTAGGTTTCAAATGCAGGCATATAGAGTTCTATACTTGAAATTAAGTATTCTGTTTTGTAATATGTACTGAATAAATGTTCTGTCTAAAAAATTTTCTGAATAGAAGTGAATTCTTCTTCATGGTTACTTGGTATTCTTATTAAACTTCCATTAGTAGCAGGTAGTATTTTGGGGGGAATGCTCTGTTGAAGAGACTTTGGAGGTCCTTCCTGAGTAAGCACATTGCTGTAAGCACTTGATAAATGTTTGAATAAGTTAATGAAACTGATTTTATTTCATAAATGTCAATAAGAATTTCCTAGATTAGGTATTTTCAAACGCAAAGAATAAATTTGTACTGATGTATGGTTGTGAAATTTTTTCTGTTCCTTTCTAGTCCCTAAGGTAGTCTTGCTTTTTAAAAAAGTTAGTAGAACCTTAAAAAAGTTTAAAATATACTATTGAAAAGACTTTTTCTTTTCCATTTTAGTTTCTTTAGGTGAATTTTCTGATATCTCAACAGATGAAAATTCAGCAAAGAAAAAAGTTAATGATTTTCACATATCTGATGATGAGGGAAAGAATTCTCCAAGACTATCTTTTTTGAAAACCACGAAAACAAACAATGGCATAACCAAAGATGAGTCAGAATTTGCCATCAAGAGCAGTGAGGAAGTGTGGCCTGACAGCTGTACAGATACAGTTCGAAATCCCTTCTCCCAGTCTCAGAATGATGATCAAGAAGCTGAGAAAGAGAAAATTCAAATGAAACCTAAACCCAGAAATCTTCCCATCAAAAGAAGCACATCTCCAGGTAATCCGATAAGTTGCTAAAACTGCATTTCTTGAATATTTATTTTAAAATAATCCGTCACAAAGTCCTTTATATGGTAGTTGATATATTTAACTATTCAGTTTCTGAACCATAAGTTAATGGAACTGTAACTCTGATGTCCTGTCGTACATTCACTGTGGAGTCTGTGCTGGGGCGTGAGAGAAAGCCCAGAGAAGCTCTGTCATCCTTGACGGTAGTTCAGAAACACCTGGCCCAACATCTTCAGTTTTGTTTATGGGGCTAGAGCCGCAGTGAATCTTTTCTAATCTCTACCTGCTCCCAAGATCGAAATAGTCATCCTCAAGATGGGGATATAGCTTGGCAGTCAGCACTTGGGCAGCATGCACACGACTGGGCCCAAGTTCCAGTTCCACAAAACACATAAGCATTCCCATAGTAATATTTTGCAGGGACATTTTTCTGGTGTTTGTATATTTGAAGAAAGTTTTGTTATTTTATTTTTAATGAAGCTTCCAGACTCTCCTCAAGAAAACAGAATCCTCCATTGGTATATGGCATGGGGGAATACACCAAAATCCAGTTTTCTAAAGGTAAATTCCTGGTGTGATCTGGGTGACTCCCCCACTGTTCTGAACTCTAGGCCCTGAAGAGCAAGTATGAGTACAGCCAAGAACCAGCAGTTTGGGCATCCTTTGGGAGATGCACAGGATCTTGCATATGCAAGGATGAGTTTGGAGTCTTCTAGTCTTTCTGCTCTGTCAAGGAAGTACTAGTTGATACTAAATTTTGTAAATTTCTCCTTTATACCAAGTAGAGTGCTGGTGAGCCTTTTGTATTTAGCGTATTAGATATCACTGATAACATCAAATAAAACTTTATTTCAGACTTGTATTATGCAATCACCCTTTCTTCTGCTAATTTTATTATCTTTGACAAGATGAGAATATAGATATAGAGAACACAAGAGTGGTGTCCAAGACACTGGGCAGAGAAAATCTTAGCACGTTAGTTGTGTGTGGCTTCAGCAAATTGGTTAAGACTCACTAGCTCACGAGGAGGTGAGTAAAACCTGCTTTTCCTGGCTTACAATGTGGTTTGGAGAATCCACTCACAGAAACAAGCAAATCCTGTGAAAATGCAAGCATTGACCAAAATAATGCTGAATTAGCTTCTAGCATGCTCCTTCCTTCCAGTATACTGAGGGGAAGCAGAAAGAGGAGTAGCACGTGGAACTCAGTTATTAAGAAAATATCAGGACTAAGGATTTAGTTCAATGGTAAAGTGTCTGCCTAGCATATATATGCAAAGGGGTCTAAATTTGACCTCCAGCACAAAATAAAATAAAAGGAAAGGAAAGAGAAGAGAGAGGATGTATGAGTGTAGTAGCAAAAATTGTTTAGAAAATTGGATGTATAATTACCACTTTATGATAGATACTAAGAAATAGTTCACCTATTAAATACATCTGTTTAAAGCTATCGTAAAGCCTGATGTGGTAGTGCAAACCTGAAATCCTGGTGCTCTTCACGGTGAGACAAGATGATTTCTGTGAGTTTGAGGGCAGCCTAGGATACTACTACCAGAAGGCAGGCATGAGTTCCAAGTCAGAAGAAGGGGGTGGAGAGAGGTAGCTGCTTAAAGGTGAATAAAAATGAGTAAGAAAATACTGTGTTTAACCACAGGATGGCTAAATCCTGCTGTGTTGTTACATGGAGTATGTCAAAACTGAAAATCATTAAGTAGGTAATCATATACATTTGTTCACAAAACAAAGCATTTAAAATTTATAGACTCATTTTTGTTCCTGAGAATTTGACAATAGTTCTGGAAATGTGGAAATGGAATTTGGGTATAAAATATACTAAAGTTAATAGTTTTAAGGTTCTTCAGGTTGAAGAGCAAAAATCAAAGCTAGTGATCCTAAGAGTGTCTGGCACAAAGAACTCCCTAAGAGTCTAAATGAGTGGATGGATATTTGAGTGATCTGTTCATGAAAAAGTGAATGTGGTTCTGACTTTAGCCTTATCCTCTGAATTCATAGGCTGATTTTTTTTCATGCAGTATTTGGACCTTGGTGTTTGTAATGTGAGATCTTTGTGGATAGTAAGTCTGGGGACTTAGTAGGTGGGTGAGAGAGAACTTCCTAGCCTGCATGAAGCTCTGGGTTCCCCAGTACCACAGTATCGTACTTGAAGCGTTCTGTGTTCTCACCTGCCTTTTGGACTAACTGCAATAACCCGACACTCACTTGCTAGGCCAGTGGCACATGGACAGTGACTATGGGAAGCATTTTGCAGGGTATGTTGTTTTTATTTTAATGTCAGAATAACTACAGACAGAGTGTTGTTTCTGTATCAGTCTTAGATCTATAGTTTACTAGATGACATAATTCAACATAGATCCTCACTTTATTAATCTGTAAAATGGAGAAAATAGTTGAAACGTCTCTAGGTGGCTCAGTGCTCAGGAGTTTCAGAGAATTAAATGAGTTTACATGCTTGAAGTGTCAGAAGAGTACACAATGAATTAGGTAGCATTAGTAAGCATTTGCTCATATGCAGGTTATTTTATTTATGTATAATGTATATTATGAATACATTGGTTTTTATCATGTTATCAGCACTGTGATTATAAATAATAATATAACATTGAAACAACTTAGTATAAACCACCCAAGACTTTGCAGTTTAGTAGGAACGTCTACAAAAAGTAAGGTAAGAGTGGAGGAAAGTGGATGCCTGAAGAATCAAGAAAGACGACTTAATGAGATAAAGATGAAGGTGACAATGATGGTTATGAAAACGAAGCAGTAGCAGTGAGAAATAATCATAGTTTAGTCAGGACTCTTGGCAAGGATCAAACTCAAACAAGTGGAAAGAAGGGGATTGTAGCCTTCATGACTGAATATCAGGTCTCTCTTTGTGTGTGATTAAATCTTGCAGACTCAGTGCTTCTAGGCGGTCATTTGGATTCTTTCTTCGCTGTCCTCCACAGCTCCATGACCCTCATTGATTTTTTTCCTCTGTCTACGATGCCATCTCTTGGACCTCATTTTCTATCCTTCGGTCCCTTTTTCTCAAGCAGTCATATAACATGAAAGAAGTCTGCTACCTGTCCACAAATCACATTGTTTTAGCCCCATGAGTATATCCTGACTCCAAATGGAAAAGTATCAGGGCACTTACCTGACCTGGGACCATTAACTATGGACAAGTTTCTGAGATAAGCAAGTAATGGTGATGATGGGGCAAGGGTGCATCGTGATGGGTCAATGCATCTCACTGGGTGGAGGTACTTGTTAACCTGCCAGACTCACAGCAATGACATTAGGAGGAAACTTTTCAAACAATGCAGTAGTGATTGACAGGCCAATGAAGAGAAATGTCAGAAGCCATCACTGCAGCTGTTCATGGTCACTGATGTGTCAGGCCCTCTGCTGAACTTGAGATATCATCTCCGGTTCCTCAGGCACTTGAGGGAAAGCCACCGAAGTTAAGCCATATCAGGAAGTTTATGGAGAAGTGTCAGAGCTAAGACTGAAGAATGAGATATCCAGAGTAGTCAGAATAGAGAGTAGCATGGTGGTCTCCAGGTGTTGGAGGGAGCAGAGAATGGGGATTGCTCTTCAGCAGTGTAAAATACCTGTTCTGCAAAGCAAAGTTCTAGAGATCTGTACTGTAGTGTGCACATGAAAGTTTTAAGAGGACAGCTTTCATGATAAGATTTAGCACCACGATAGAATAAAAATTGACTCAATACCTTCTTAGGAAAATAAAATTGACTTGATACTTTCTTTTCAGGCATTACATAGTATTTTATTGAAGCTGAGATTCCAAAGCCACACATGTGTCAGGAAGAAAATCAGGGAGTGGATGGATGTTCTGGGCACATGGAGTGGCTTGGAGAGAGGTTCGGTGGGGAGTAGGGACCTGTGCCTACTTACTGTCATCCCAGCATCCCAGGAACATGTTCCACATTGTAAGTGCCAGGAGACAATCAGCACAGATAGCCAGTGCCAGGACCAGGAGCATCTTTGTGATGTTCAAAGGGCACTGTGCTTTCCTTGCATTAGAATTAGAGCCCCAAAGACTCTGTGGAGAGAAATGGTATGATGTATTGACAATTTGTAGGTGTCATTTGGAAACGGATAAGGAGTTAACAGTGGGGAGGAAGATGGTGGAATAAATGAGAGAAGTTTTGGTTTTATTTTTTTTTTTCGGGATAAAAACTTATTCAAGCTAGCTTGGACTACAGTTTCTGTATTGGGTTGGAGTGCTGCAGTGGGGAGGGGGAGGGAAAGGGGACTTTTTAAAGCACAAAAGGAATGTTGACGAGGTGGTCCCCAAATAACAGGGGGTGTTCTTGGTGTTCACGGTCTACATGTCAAGGTGCCCTAAAATAGCAAAACAAGCAAGTTACAGAAGCCAAAATTAGCAGTTAGTCATGTCATAACAATTTTATTTTCTATATGTCTAGAAAGCAAACAACTGCAGCAGAATTCTCCTGAGAGGTAAGGGGGAAAGGGGTCAGAGTTTCTTAAAAACAATTCTTGACCTAGATATACACTATGGCTAAGCTTCTAAGATGGCTACTTTATCCAAAATGGAGTCAGTTTGGTCAGTACACCATGTAGGTGCTGGGAATCGAACCTGGATTCTCTGCAAAATTACACGGTGCCCTTAATCATTGAGCAATCTCTCCAGCCCCCCCCCCAGCCCATAATGTTAAAATGTTCAGACCCAGTCTTTGAGAAATAAACCTTCCCACTAAACCTCACTTTCCTTCTGAGGCAGGTGCAAAAACTCTTGTCTTTAGCATCTTTCACTGGGCAGGTGACTCACGCATGATTGCATGTGTAACTGATTGTTACCAATCGTGTACTTATTTATCAATTGTTTACATCAAGCTCTAAGGGCTTGCCATCTATGCTTGCCAAGGTGTCAAATCTTTAAACAGAAATGTTAAAGAGCTATGGTGGAACAGTGGCATTTGAGCTCTCACAAGGGCAGCACATAATTTGTTGCCAGAATGATTCTAAAAGGCCAGAGAACTGGCCTCCCTTTTTCTTTCTTTCTTTTTTTTCAAAGTAATTTATTGAAATTTTCATATAGGCATATAAGCATGCAAGGTGTTTTGATCAAATCCATGCCCACTCCCTCCCCTCTACCTCCTCCAATATCTCCCCATCACTTTATCACTTTTTTCTGATAACTTCATTTACTCTTTTCTTTCTTTCTTTTTTTTTTACCTTTCTTCTTTTGTTTATTTTTTTATGAGGCTTTTGGCTATGCTAACTTTCCCCACTTTGAAGAGGTAACCCTAAAATCTTTTAAGGATTAGATAAAATCTCCCAAATACTTTTGATATTTTTGGCCTTCGGAACAGAGTATATTGCTAAGAGGCCCAAGGACATTGTGACTTTTAGCCAAGAAACTGGCTACTTTTCTTTGGGGTCTTTTTACCCTAACTGCCTAGCCAGTTCCTACCTCCTGTTCTTATCACACCATCCTCTGAAGAGGTTACCCAAGTTGCAGATAGGGAATCAGGACACAGACAGTTCTGGCTTCTTACATGCTGAACAGGGACGCAGGGTGAGGCAATTGGATTACCCCTTCCTTGGGTCTATCTAAAATACTCCCAAATTGCATAACAGTTATCACCACATGGAGGCAAGATCTTGGCCCTCTCAGCAGTCCCCTTCATTCTCAGCCCCTATGCCAGAGGGAGGCCAAAACCCTGCACTCTCTGGTGATCTGCTGAGATGACAGCCACTACACCGATGGAGGTGGGAACCCACCCTCCCAGGCTGTCTGCTGGGATCTCAGCCTTACTCTACCAAAGCCAGATCTGCTGAGAGAAAATTTTTATAATGGAGAATCTTATATACTGCTTTGACATGGGGGCAGGGCAGTGAAGTATTCTAGGCAGGCTCTTAAATTTTGGGGAGAGCATTTCACCAGAGTTTATAAATAGCTAAAACTAGCAACAGAACTCATGTAACATCAGGTTGACATGGCTATAGAATCTTCTTACAACATTCATAACCTCTATACGTAGGCACAGAGAAGGTAGGTGTTAACTAGTTCAGTTTTGAAGTTTTTGAAGAATGCATTGGTTAGAACATGGGTGAAAAAATATATATGTTATAGCTAAAATTTAGACAGAAAGTACACAAATAAAAAAATCTTTCTGTCAATGTTTTGGGAGCTAAAAGCATACCATGAATGGGGTGTTTTAAATTTGAATGTTTTGAATACTGTTCAAGAGTTCTTAAGATTGAAGAGTCTCCCTTCATAACACTGAACTATACTAGTTACACTCAGCCTGGCAGCACCTTCTGGGTTTTAATTCTGAACTCTACTTACCTGTGCCTTATTAATGCTGTGAAGAAAGGCTTTGAGCTCACCCGGGCTCTCCAGGCACCATGCACTGGAGGGAGGTGTGTCCTCTTCTGGAGGGTTAGTTGAAGCTGTGTTTGGTTTTTGTTGGAAACCTTAAAATATTTTATTTCCAGCAGAAAGCAGCAGCAGTCTTGATGCAGACAGCCACTTGAAGCCATTGCCTCGGCCAAGGAGCATGTTAAAAAAGAGCAGCCACACAGATGGACTGGGCGATGATGAAGACCCAGCCCCAAGTGGAGACCCAGCTTCTGCACCTTCTTCCCTTCCAAGGCAGAATGGCACAGAGTCAGAAGCCGAGGAAAAAGCACGCCCTGCAAACCTTTATCTTGAGGTTGGTGTAGTGCTGAACTGTTGAATATGTTCTTGAGCCAGACCTTTGCACCTGCAGATTAGAGAGAAAGAGAGAAAGCATTTCTGTCTATGCATGTGTGTGTCTGTGTCTGTTTGTGTTGACATATACATATGTGTCTTGCATTTTCTTTTGCAATTGGTAAAGAAATTTCAATTTTTTATTATACCCTTTTACTAAGCCCAACACTCTCTCAACTGTAAGATGTAATATTATTTTATATACACCTAGGGAAGAAGAAAACAGTATCAACTAAGTTACAACATACCAATTATAATAAAATGTTTTAGAGAAAGCAATATTGAAATAATTTTGCTCTTCTGGTTTATATAGTACTGCCTATCTTGAATTATAATAATTTATAGTATTTTCTTTGCTTATGTAATTGTGACTCAGGCCAGTTCGGTTCTTTTCATTCGTTTGACTGGATTTACACAGAGATGTGTGTAAGGCACTGTTCTGTCTTTAAGAGTTGATAGCATTTTCCAGGTTTCCATAGGCGAGTGATGTGTCATCACTGAGGGAAAACATCTGTCCCCTCACTTTATATTTCTCCAGCTTGTGTCTTAGGAAAGTTCAGAAAGAACATTTGTAAGAATGACTTCTATTAATGGACAGAGTCTGAATGACTTTTAATTAACCCCAGCAAAATCCTATGGTCTATGTCTTGTGACCTGGGCACCTGATCTCCTTTCCTTGGCAACCTCAGTTTGGTACTCCACCCCAAAAATAATGAGTGTAAGAATGTTGGTATGCTGAGAATTAACATATCAAAGCACTGAAAGGCAGTGCAACCATCTCTGTGGCACACAGTTAAGACTGGGATGGATGATTGACCTTGGATGAATGAGATAGTCTAGAACTAGGGATGGAAAGGCCAGATGGTCTGGTAAGATTATAGTGAAGCCAAGCTTGTACTTTCCCACTGAAGCTGGAGATACTGTTTTGAATAAAATTATGGATAGGGCCTGACTTGAGGACACAGTTCCAGAAACAGTTCCAAAGACAGTTCCTGTAGCACAGTTCTAAGAGACAGAGGGTTCTAAGAGATACCTAGGGCAACAAGTGTCCTCTGAGTTTGGGACTATTAAAAACTAAATTTAAGAATCAATCTTTTTGTCAAGTAATTACAATGCTGGTATAGTGTATTAACTACTTTCATGTTGCTGTGATAAGACACCATGAACAAGGGAACGTATAAAAGGAAGAGTTTATTTGCCTTAGGCTTCCAAAGGGGTAAGAGTCCAGAATGGTGAGGGAGACATGGCAGCAGAGGTGGCTGGAGCAGAAAGGCAGGCTGTCCCATCTCCTAGCAGGCACAGGAAACAGAGAGCACCTGGAAATGTAGCAAGGTTTAAGAACTTTCAAAGCCTACCTGAGTGACGTGCTTCCTCCAACAAGGAGGAAAAACAATCCCAAAACAATACCTGTGACTGGAGACCAAGTGTCCGAATAATTTTAGCCTATGGGAGACATTCTCATTCAAACCACAACACATTGTAACACCACAAACATTCTTCTATGACCCATATGGGAAGATCCCAGAGGATGAACTACACACTGCCTGGCCAAGTTCCTTCTTTTCCTTTTCACCCATCTGCAGGACTGCTGTGTAAGGACCTGCTCTCAGGAGGTGGTCAGACAGACCTTGGCACCCTTTCCTACTCCATGGATTTCTCCCTCTAATTCAGACCCCAAGTGCTAGGAGTGCAGTAGGCTACTGAGTCTTGTTTAGAGCTCACAGTTTTGATATAACTGTGTGGCTCCTCTCTGCTAGTTCTTAATTTGTTCTGAAAAATCAAAAAAAGAAGCTCACACAATTATTGTATATTTAATACAATTATCTGCTCCATTGAATATATATTGGTTTCCTGTGAGTGCTGTAACAAATTGACACAAGCTGGAAGACTTAAAGCAATGGAAAATTGCTCTGGTAGTCATCAAGCCAATCCAAAGCCCCTACAGGGGGCCCTTTCCTTGTCTCTTCTACCTTCTGGTAGTTGCCAGCAGCTCCTGACCTTCCCTGGCGTAGAACATCACACCACCCTGCCTTCATCCCCTCATGGCCGCCTTCCTATTTATGCTTTGTGCCCATCTCTCTCTTCTTTCTTAAAGCAAGCACTATCATAGTTGGGGCCAATATGTGTTCATGCTAGCCAGAAATTACATCTGCAAATACTTTATTTCCAAATAAAGTGTTCTGAATGGACCTGAATTTGGAAGGACATCATCATTTCAACAGGTATAGATTCTTAGCTGTAAGTGCTGTTTTCTAAAATTATCCTGTCCCTTGACTGAAAATGTGTGCATTCCTAAATTTTTTTCAAGCAGCATCATTCTGTGACAGAAATTTAATAAGATGTATCTGCCTATGACGCCACTGGCTCATAGCAGTGCATTCGTTGGTCTTCTCTTCCAGCCTACTTTCCTGTGTTCATGTCCTCTTGCTCATCATCCCAGCCTTCGTGTTTGGTGTTGAACTTGTAAGTTGTGAAGTATGTTTATACGGCTAGGTCTTAAGATCACGTTCACATAATGTCTGTGACACAGCCCATAATGTAGAACTGTTATTCTTCTGTTGGATACTGTGACTCTGTTTTTAACAGTTGAATGTTCCTTATTGGTCACTGTAAGACTTCCTGGCTGTGCTCTGACTCTAAGGTCACCTTCTTGGGGATCTCCTATGTAGTTTTACCAAACCCTCTTTCACTGGTATGTAGCCTTTTTCTCCTCACTGCTCAGTTCCGACTGTATTGCTCAGACCTCTTCATCTTTATGTAAGCTCTCACTTGATGGTCCACCTCCCCCTCTGCCTCAGTCGTGCAGATGTCACACCAGATACCAAGGGGATGAGAATGGGGGCATTTGCTTCCTCAGTGCATTCTCACCTCCTCCTTTCCTCTGTTTGCTCACCTGTGTGTATGGATAATGTTTGCATTAATCACACACAGTCCTGGAACAAACTGGTTGATCGAGGCATCGTATTTTTTGTGGGATTTAATTTGTTACTAATTTGTTAAGCCTCCGACTTACATAGTGTAAAGGCTATTACTAATTTTTTTTTTGTAATGTTATGATCAGGCTTGAGGGTCAGATGATTTTATTTATGTATTTATTGTGTCTGTGTGCATGTTTTCTCTTTATTTGCTAAAAGTTTGTTATGAAACACAAAGTTAATATTTTTTTCTCTTAAATTAGAAGGTTTACCAGTAAAATGTCCCAGGCCTGGAATCTTCTTTGTGGAAAGGTCTGTGACATTAATGTGGGTTTTCTTTTTTATTTTTATACTGTTTTGCATTTTACTCATTTATTCATTCATTCATTTTGTCTGAGTGCACGCACGCAGGCATGCATGCACGCTCACCCGACATGGCTTGCTCAGTCAGAGGAGAGGAGTCAATTCTGTCCTTCTACCTTTACAGGAGTGCTTGGGAGTAAACTCCAGTCATCAGGCTTGCATGGCAAGCCCTTTACCTGCTGGGCCACGGTGCCCACCCCTGCTTTTTCTTTCCTTATAGTTACTTTGACATTCATTTTACCAGTTTAATAATTAGTGCTTACCAAGAAATTCATCCATATCATCTGTGATGCTAATTCACAAACATAGCTGTTCGTGATGCTTCTCACTCTTTTGATGACCATAGTATTATGAGTTTCCAGCTTTGATTTCTAATATATAATTTGTATTTTCTATCTAATTTAATTTTGATAGACGTTGCTTAATTTTATTAGTTCTTTCAAAGAACGAACTTTGGCACTGTTAATTTTCTGTTTCCAATTTCTCTTAATTTTTCGGTTTCTACTATTTAAACTTTCTTTGGGTTTAATGTAAATATATTTAAACTTTTTAAAAATTTTTTATTTATTAATTTTATTTTATGTGTATGCGTGTATTGCCTGCATGTAGGTAAGTGCATCCGTGTCATGCAATGCCTGTGGAGGTCAGAAGAGGCTGTTGGATCCCCTGGGACTGGAGTTACAGACAGTTGTTAGCTGCCATGTGGGTACTGGGATTCAAACCCGGGTCTTCTGCAAGAGCAACCAGTGCTCTTAACCACTGAGCCATCCCGCCAGCCCCTAATGTGAATATATTTAAATTTCAAAGTGTTCTCAGAGACTTCTAGCCTTTTGTCTTGTCTGTGAAGACCATCAATATTATGTATTTCCTTCTCTATGCTGCTCCAGCAGTCCTGATTGTTTTGATGTTTATTATTTTCATTACCATTTCTTAAATACATTTTGAATTTGTTTTTAGTTATTTTTTGTGTATTTCATACAGAATATCTCAAACAATGGTAATCATCTTTATACTCCCCATCCCCACCAGCACCCTCCTACAGTCCCCCCGCTGGAGCCCATATACTCTGTCCTCCGTGTTAAGGCCCACTGTGTCAAGTCAGTGTCCCTAGACACTCCCCAGTGCAAGTCCATCCACTGAGGTCTAGTCAGCCTATCTTCCCTTGTTTTAGGAAGATCAGCTCTTCCTTATCTAGCAGTACTCAGTTGCCAGTATTTCTTCAGCTAAGATTAGGGTCTGCTGCTCATTTCCCCAGTTCCTTGCTGGATTTTTGTCTCCCTGAGTTTGCATAGGACTTGTGTATGCTGACAGCATTGCCAGAGAATCATATGAGCAGGGTCCCAGGAGCTTGTAGGACTCTGTTTCCATATGGTCATGCATCTCCTCCCTGGCTCTTACAAGTTTTCCTTCCCCTCTTCTGTGTAGTTCTTTCATTTTCTAGTGTCTCTGTTGTCACTGAACCCCCTGAGAGTGTCTTTATGCCACGTGTACGTACATGAGCCAAGGGTTTCGGTGAGTTCCTCTGCAGGTGCTGTGGCTGCTGCACTCTGTGCTCTTCCCCAGACATACGGCTGATCTTCCCATCCTAACATGTACCTTCTATTCCTCACTCAGGCCACCTGAGTAAGTTGTCTTCTACTACTGGGACCAGACAGATTAGGGAAGACCTTAGTTAAAGAGATGTTTCTTGAAAATCTCTAGTAAAACTTTGTCAAGGCAATCTCTGTCTGACAGACTTTGTCAAGAAAAATAGTTGTTCTACCATTTTCCAGTGTTTTCTAGCCATTGATTTGGCATATAAATTTCCTTTATAAATAATATTGAAAACTGGGATATTTTTGCAACAAAATTAAACTTCTTATATTATAGTACCATTAATTTATAGGCTAGAATATTATTCTGTAAAAATGTTTATTATAGAGACAAGCATACTTATTTGATATATAATCTTCAGAATTTTGACAAAAATTCAAGTTTTTGAAATCCATGTGCTTTCCCATATAAAATACTTGGAAGTAGCTATCTCCTTGTCTTTATAAATGGCTTTTGTTGGCACAGCTAGTGTCGCACTAAATTTTCTTCCCTTTTCCCTTCTTAGGAAGCTCTGCACGTACCCTCCCAGGGCCCCAAGGTTCACAGACTAATATAAGACATTTTTAGTTTGGGTTTGCATGGTCTTTTATGGTAGGAAGCGAGGGGATGACTTACCAATTAGAAATGTGTCAGTTGTACATATGTTAGTCAAGCCATTATGGCACTAGAGGGTGTTGCTTGGCATGTCCATAGTGTACAGCACACAGGGTCCATTGTTGAATAGAATCATAGGGGATCCTTTCTTCCCCAGTGATATGCATAGTGCCTTCTGGCACTATAAAAGCCATCCATCCATCCATTGGCATGGTGTTTTTAGCTTAGTCTCAGCTCCATCTCTTCTTCTCCCTTGCTCACATTATGCAGTGTCTTCAGCAACATGGCCTTACCGACCTTTCTAGTGTACAATCGACATTAGTGGCAATAGCCTTGGTGAATTTGAGGACCTCTAAGGATCTCTCTCTGACCAACAGCTCATAGGGGGGAAACCCACCCCTGGTACTGTAGTTTTTCTTAATAGTTGTATAGTGTTGGGAGCTTCTGTTTTTATCTTAACCAACCATAAAACTCCCAAGAATCTTATAGCTATAGCTGACCTTTGCTTCTTCAGGTATCTTTCACATGTGTTTCACATTTGTAAAACACTCAAAGGGTAACATCATAATCATAGACAAGGTCTCACATAACATGGAAAGGTTTTATCCATTCATATTAATTGCTTTCTCCATAGATCTTTGTTAGGTACCATAGCATGGGTAAGAGGCATTAATTTGGTTAGTTCTTTACTATCTTTACTTATTCCTTTGGAGTCATTCCACATTCTGGGGATTTTACATGGAGTCTCTTTGTATTCTTTTAGACTTAATACACTTACAGGTGCTGGCTCTAGTTGTCTGACCCTGCACCAGGCTAAGGAGACAGGTGGTTTCCCTTGTCCCCACTGCACCTTTTGGTTTCCTGAGTCAGTCAGGCCCTGAGTCTGCCTCCTGACTGTAGCAATATCTGTTGTCTCTCCATTGACCATACCTGGCTGCTGGGGGAAACCCTGGTGGGAAAAACTGCCTCCACCCCTAGGATAGCCTTTCTCAGGAGAGAAATGTACCTTATTTAAGCTTTGGGGATCCTTAACCACCCCTGGGACAGTTTTTGTCCTTTGAATGCCTTTTGTAAACTGTTCTTTCAGTTTTAAAGCCTTCTAGAAACTCCTTAGTACCAAATTTGGCTTTCTCTTTGGGGATTTGGGCTCAACATAAATCTTGCCCCACTTGTCTTCAAGTAACCCAAACGGACCATTTCTTTTATTTGATCTTTTTATATCTCTTGTAAGGTGTTCTGTTATTCTGTAGACACATTTTACATGCTGGTCAATCACTTATATTTGCTAAAGCCTCTCTCACTTTACAAAGATCCTGTCCCATTAAAGGGCTTAGCAAAACCATTAAAGCTCTATACCATTCTCACAGTCCCAGTTGAATTAAGCTTTCTTTCATATCTCTGGTGAACACAGTTTTACCTGGCCCAGTGAACTGGACATCATATATTGCTTTTCTCATACCTAGTTCTCTGAGTAATGCCTCTTCCTCCTTTATAGTCCTCCAGCCCCTTTTAATTATGGTAGCTTCCATTGGTGATGACCATGTATCTTTAATGCCTTCCACCAGCCATCCCATTAAGGATTGCTTCCCCCTGCATTGGCCTAGGGTGGACAGCCTATGTCCCAAGGACGGATGGGTGGTTATATAACGCAGCTGTGAAGCTTCTGAAGGACTTAGACTGACAGTATTTGCTCCCATGTCCCATACTCTCAGAAGCCACGTGGTGAGGGGCTCTTTGATTGCTTGTGTGTCTTTTGTAGTTTTAACAGCCCCAGTGCAGAATATTTTCTAGCTACAGTACCATTAGCTTTTTCCTCTGTTTGTGTCAAAGTTTGAATCTGAGAAACAGCTTTAGCTGCTCTTATTTTTAGGTCCTTTCTTTTTTCACTACTGTCTGTCTTTTTTCCTGAGTCCTTGGCCCTTAGACAAGTTAAAATGTCGTTTTTTTTCCTCTCTCTCAAGCTCTGAGGTAGAAACTGGATCTGCCAGGACCTCCCTGGCCTTTTCCACTTCCACTGACTTGGGCAAATCTTTTATTATGAGAAGTGGCCACATCTCCTCTCTGGGTTCCTCTCTTGTCTGTAAGATTTTTTCCAGGCTCTCTATAATCCTTAAGCTTTCAAATCCACATAGAGGCAGACTCCATTTTTTTAGCATCTGAGCCATTTCCCCATATTTACAACATAGCTGTGGCCCCGGGGTTTTTCCTTTTGATTCCCCCTGCATCTGCGTGGCCTACTTCATTCTAATTATATAGTGCATGATCCATTGCATGATGCGTGCAAGCATAGATAGCCCCCTTAAGCCTATGGGGTTTGGCCCCTCTCTCCCCTGGGTTCTCTCCAGCTTCTCCCGGAGATGTTGTTGTTAACTCACAGGACTCCTGTGGCTCCCATCTCTGCCCTTCTGGATTTGAGAATATGAACCTGGCTCCCTTTCAGTCAGCTCACCAGACATTGCTGTAATTGCACCACTTTCCCAGGCCCACATCCCCATGTTTTTCCTGGACTCCTGCAGGTTCATTTGTCCACCGGACTACGCCAATTGTCGCACTAAATTTTCTTCCCTTTTCCCTTCTTGGGAGGCTCCGCGTGCACCCTCCCAACATAAGACATTTTCAGTTTGGGTTTGAATGGTCTTTTATGGTAGAGAGTGAGGGGATGACTTACAGAGAAACGGACCCCCACCCCACGCCACGCCGCTGCATAGCGGCCCACCTTTCCCGATCACTTTCAACCACCTTCTTCCTCATCTTGCATCTGCACATGCCAGGTCACCCCGCAGAGTTCTGTGTGGGGTCCACAGGGTCCTCCCAAGGTTCCCAGGACTCCATGGGGTCCACCCGCCTCCTGTTTCCTGCTCCCAAAAATGTCGCCAACTCGTCCTCCTTTTTCCCAGTGTACTCCACTTCTCTGTGGGTCTCTAGATCCACCCCCTCTTTTCCTAGGAGGATGAATTTATCCAACAGTTAGTAATATTTGTTTGAAACTAAAGGCTTTCACTTATGATCATCTTCTCTCTCCTTTCTTTGAAAACAGAACTAGGCCAGGTATGGTGACACACACCTTTAATCCCAGCACTTGGGAGGCAGAGGCAGGTGGATCTCTGTGAGATTGAGGCCAGCCTGGTCTACAAGCAATTTCCAGCTGATATTGCAGGGAGACCCTGTCTCAAACAAAAGCACATAAAACAACAAAGAAAAAAAGAAAGAAAACAAAAGAAAAGAAAAATCGAATTTGGAGAAATAAAAATCAAAATGAAATCTTTGCCTTAGACATTTTAAGAGATTTAGGGCAGCAAGGAAGGGTTTAGAAAATTAAGGAAAGTGATGGTTAAAGAACTAAAATAACTCCTTTACTGACCCCTTCTAATGGCTAAGGTATCAAAGCTTGAAAATGCAAAATGTTGACTTCCGGTGACAGTGCTTTGATTTTTTTCAGTGGCAACCCTCTAATAATGTCAATTTCAAGTACAAGGTAGTTTTGATAATTCTATTCAAGATATTTTAATTTCTAACCTTTATATTAAATACTCTTTTAAAAAATAGGATTCATTGTTACCAAGTCTGACCTCATCATTCCTCAAAGAAAGTCTTGGAAATTGCTTCTCAGCAGAATCTAGGGACAAATCATCCATAAAAGGTAGGTATCTCATTACTGTATCTTATTTGTGAATTTTATATTGCTTAGAACCCTATTGGTAAGAGAAATTGTGTTTTTCATTTTTAAAGGAAAATATCCATTTGTTTTTGTCTGATTTTTTTTCTTTTTCTTCTTACTGGAGTTATGGATAGTTGTTAGCTGCCATGTGGGAGTCCCGACTATATAATTGCTAATGTGATGCTAGAACACAGAAGTGAATTTCTCAGTACCTCTCTTTTCTCAATATATATCAGTAACTCTCTCAAAAAGGTTGTTGTGGTCCCCAGGACATCACTTATGGTGAAGCAATATTATGTAATGGATGCTTTAATAGTGCATATACCACAGTATAATAGTTGCATAGACTTTTTAAAATCTTTTTTTTTAATGTATATGAGTATATTGTCTGCATGTGTATACAAGCACCCATTCCATGCAGTGCCAGTTGGATCCCTTGGAACTGGTGTTACGGACTATTGTTAGCCATCACATCAGTGCTCAGATCCAAACCCAGGTCCTCTGCAAGAGCAGCCAGTGCTCATAACTGCAGAACCATCTCTCCAGCCCCTGGTTGCATAGATTTTTTTTTTTTTTATCCAAACCTAGACACATGGACAGAGTAGCAAACCTCTCTACACCTGTGAATTATCTTTAAAATGCATATTGTTGAGTAATCTATCTCATGGAGGTGTTTGTGAGAATTAAAAGAATTAATTTCGCAGACAGTACTGTGGGAAACGTAGTAAATGTGAGGTATAGGCTGTTAATAGAGTTTCTATTCTTTGTTTTGTAACACCCATAGCTTAACAGAATTAAAAGGAAGCACTGATTCTAGGACTGGGGTGCTTAACTAACATTTAAGTGCTTACTGTGTAGTGTAGTCTTTGTCATTTTACAGATAAAAACAAACAAAAACTCTGAAGTGTAGTTATTGGCAAACATATTGAAGTCAGTGATGGAGACATAGTTTGAATCTTTGGCTTCTAAGCATTTGTTCTTCTTGCTGAATTGAATGATTCACAGCTCCAAAACTTCCAGTAGCAGATTGAGTCATGGATACTTTTCAAATGTGAAAATATGTAATGATGAAGTGATTTTTAACTTAGTTACTACCAAACAACTTCTGAACAGGGCCACAGTGAAAGCAGGAGAAGGAAGACTTCACAGTGACTGGGAGGAAGATCTTGTTAGGAATCAAAATTAATGATTACACAGAGACCACTGATTTCTTTCTGCTAGACATTTCAAAGTGTGATAGAGTTAGAGTAATAAAAACAATTCCATGAAAGCAAAACTGAATCTTCTTAGGCATAGTCTGAGCCTGTCCTGAGGAGCCTGAGCATGTAGCAGTAGATCTGGCCTTGGTGGCCCTTTGGCCTGAGAGGCATCAGGAAGGGATGAAACTGCTTTGAGCCTGGCTGGAATCTGCGTAAGGCGATTTGCATGAATTTGTGGTCCTCTCCCCGTCTTCATAGCTCACCTGTACAATTAGTACCTGTGGTGGTGTGGAGCCTTTTACATTGTACTTTCACAGCCTGCTGTTTCAGCTCCAAACACGTAGACTTTAATTGAACAGAAATTGCCATGTCAGCTACTTGATTTACACATTAACGTGTTCTTTTTGATTGCCTTTATTTGGGAGTAGCTAATTCATTTTATTATTCATATGTTGTGTTTTCTAATTAGGGAGTTTGTCAAATCTATAATTAGGTTAAATAAGTAGTTTTGCATTTGTAGATCAAGTATATTCAAATTTAATAGGGTAATTTTCTTTTTTTTTATTTTGCAAGAAAAAAAGACTATAGGCAGGCGTCATGGCACATGCCTATAATTCCGCTTGGGAGGTAGAGGCAAGAGGTTCAGGGATTCAAGGGTCAGCTACATAGCAAATTCTGGCCAACCTAAGCTATAGGACACCTGTCAAAAGAAAGAAAGAGAGAAAGGAGGAAAAAAAGAAAGAAAAATGCTAATTTATAAGGAAGTAAATGAACCTTTTACCTGCTTTGTCAAATAAGAAAGATTTAGTACTGTTCCTCTGCCTCCAAATAGATCCTGATGGAGAAGTCACTGCAAATTCTGATTCCTTCATATCAAAGGAAAATGAACGAAATTCACTTTTGGTAGACTGTGTTACTCCTGAACTTGAGAAACCCAAAGAAGGTCAAATGGCAGCTGATACTGATGCTGACCTTGAAGAAGAAAGGGAGAAAGCTGGGTTTACAGATGATGACTTAACCACTGATCCACTGCTGTCCACGTCTCCAAGTGTCTTAACACCCACTGATGCAGCGGACTCTGCAAAGGTACTTCTACAAATTTATACTATTGATACTGCAGTTTAACACATGAACAAGAATTTCAAAGTACTTCCAACTTATAAACCTTTGTGTTAGTCATGGAAAATTCATCTTCTGACACTAGTATTTTTAAGTAGGTATTACTTAATTTAATAGAATTTTAACTTCAAGAAAAGTTTGCAGTTAGCAGAGTGAAACCCAGAGGTCACTGAAAGCTATCAGGTATATTACCATGATTTAAATCTTTCAGAACTGTCTTCATACATATATAGGTTTCTATAAATCAGATTATGTGGAGGCAGCTGTCTAGAACAGCTGTGGAGATGTTAAGTTGATGAAATCTGAAAGGTATCACTTGCAAATTATTTAAACAACTTTAACAAATGTTTTTTAAAAGTTTCTTAGCTACAAAGCGAGTTCCAGGCCAGCCTGAGCTACATGAGACCCTGTCTTGAGAGAGAGACAGAAACAGAGACAAAGATAGACAGGGAATGGAAAGGAAGGTGGATGGGGAGAATGAAGGAGGGAGGGAGTGAAGGAAGGAAAAACTTTAAGAAGTATTTATTGGGGCTGGAGAGATGGCTCAGTGATTAAGAACACTGACCATTCTTGCAGAAGACCGAGTTCGAATCCCAGCACCTACATGGCAGCTAACAACTGTCCGTAACTCCAGTTCCAGGGGATCCGACAGCCTCTTCTGTCCTCTGCGGGCATTGCATGACACGGATGCACTTACCTACACTCAGGCAATACACACATACACATAAAATGAAAATATGAAAATATGAAAATAAAATTTAAAAAAAGTGTTTATCATTGTATGTTTTTAAAAGTAGATTGACAGAACCATTATCTGGAATGTTTTATAATCCCAGGAATACATTTACAACTTATAGGATTACTTGTCTTTATAATAAAGTCTGCCAGACTACCATGCTTTTATAAATGTGCTGTGTGGCATTTTCAGTCTTACTCCCTCTGAGTTTAGTCTTCATGTTGCAGCTGCGGATTGCCACCAAATTGGCCTATCCATTCTTAGGGGTGGAGAACTGACTTACATAATACCCAGTGCAGCCTTTTATGAAAACTTAAGAGGTTCATTAAGCCACATTGCAGAAAACCCTGATGCCAGTTTAGGGATATACTCACATCAATGCTCTTGCTGCTCTGCCAGCCCCCAGTGCCACCTACGGGAAGTAGAACGTTATGTCTGACAGGAGGAAGGGTCTTCTGTAGTATGCAGACAGGATGTTATACGAGGGCAGTTTTGAACTTGAGTGTACACTTTATGCATAGCAAGTAAGGTCGTAACCTCTTTCCTTGAGTAGATCTTTGGTTTTATTCTTATGTACTGCTGAATAATCTCTGCTACCTTTGAACCTAATAGTCCCCTGTTAGCTTTTTCTTTTTTGTTGGTTTCTTGTTGTGTGAACGATATTCAACATATGATAAGCTCACAGATGCTGCTCTGAGAACCTGTTCCTCCCTGTCCCCGCTAACCAAGCTCAGCACCATGGACTTGCTAGTGCTGTTCACTGTCTAAGCACCTGTTTCTCTTTATTTCCATCAACTTTCACACTTGCCTCCATTCGTCATTCTCAGCCTCACACCATGCCCTCGGGAACTCCCCAGGTCAGCTTCACCAGAGCATCCCTCAGCCACACTCCAGTCACTCCCTGTCACTGTCTCTAGTCCTGTCTCCTTCATCAGCCACATTTGCTTATGTGATGACTCTAGTGAAGTTTAGGAACCTGGAGAGCATTATGTTCACTGGCCTGGCCCAGTGCGCAGTGTCCTTGACACATACTAGATGCTAAATAAATGTTGATTTCCTCCTGGTTTTGCCTCAGCCTGATATAATTGTGATGAGTGGTCTTTGTATATGTTTTCTGTTCACTAGAAAACAATTGAAGACAGAAACAGGAAGAATAAAATGTCAACGAACAATAGAGTATCCAGTGCCTCTGGCAGGTAAAAGTTACCAACATCATTCATGGGTAGGCTTACACTCTAGCAAAACTCACTTTAATGTAAAATGCATGAACCAAATTTCCTGAGTTGGTATGGGTTTTTCTGCTCACTCCATTGTGAGATGCGGTAGATACTTCATGATAAAACCTTCAGTTGGCTATGTTCTTTCATAAATTATTGATAAAATGACTAAGGTAACATTGACTGTTACCATGACTACAGTGTTTATATAATGTCTTAGTTCTCCAGGATTTTCTCTCTAGGGGTTTTTTGTTTGTTTCCCTAATGTCACTGCACAGCTCTTGGGATAAAGCTGCTTCTGTTTTTAATGAGACAGTACATGTATAAACTGGTAATAGTTTATATAGAAGTTCAGCACTTCATTTTCTATTAAGTGTCTTTGTCAAACACATCAAAAATTGAACTTAAAAGTCTTTAGGTTCTATTGGCTAAATGGACTAATTGAAATAAAAGACTCTAAGCTAGACATGGTGGCACACACCCATCATACCGGTACCCAAGAGGCTGAAGCAGGATTGTTGTGAGTTAAGGCCAGCCTGGCCTACATAGCAATACCCTGTCTCAGAAAAACAAGTAATAGTCATTATAATAATAAATCAATGAAAATAGTCCATGTGTCTTCATCCTTGCTTTGCTGATGAAAGTTGCTGACTCATAAGCACCTATTTTAGGCTCTGTCGGCAGTTCTGCATCTGTTGTAAACTTCAGTTCTGCCATCCTAGCTGGCTAGAGGGATAGTCAGTATGCAAAGGAGTGAGTATAGCCCCATGTAGTAAGCCTTGTTCGCCAGAAGATAAGAGAAGTCAGAAACTGCCACCTGTCTGAACCAGTGGGTCCTGTTCTAACTTTTACATTTAGAGTGTTTCATGTAATAGAATAATGCAATAAAATATTAAAAGAGTGATTAAGACCTACTATACTAGTATCATATTTTCATGTACTTTGAGATGTGGTCCATGTTTCTTTAAAAGGCTGTAATCATAAATATGTAAGAAGAGAAATATAAAGTTTTAAGATTTAAATTATGTTGAACAGAACTAAGAAAACATTAACTTTTTTTTACATTGAGTCATAATGTTGTTTTGTTTACTTGACACAGGGTCCCACGTTGTAGTCCATGCTGTCCTGAGCCTCACTGGGCACACAAGACTGGCCCTGAATTCATGTTAACCCTCCTGTCTTAACCCCCCCCCCCCCCCCCGCAGGGCTGAGATCGTAGGTGTGAGGCACCACCCCTGGTTTTGGAAGGAAGTTTTCAGTATAGTAGTTGTGTATTCTAGCACATCTTCCTGCTGCCAAATGCAATTGTAACACTTTATCTTGATCCATTTGAAACTTTTCAGATTAATGACCTCTGAATTTTTAAAGAAGCCGAGTTCTATAAGGAGAAGTCCATCCGCAACTACCTCTTCTCACTACTTAGGGACTTTAAAAGTCTTAGACCAAAAACCTTCACGAAAACAGAGCCTGGAACCTGACAAAGCAGATCACATAAGGGCGGCTGTTTATCAGGTAAAAGAGAAAATATCTTTTAATAAGAATTAGTCATTTCCAGAAGACCATCTATTTCTCAAAGAATAAAGCGGCTCTGTCAGAAATAATAGCCGATTGTTCGCTGTTATTGGAAAAGGTTTTCCTTAAATGTACATGAGCAATCCTAAGGAATTTTACTGAATTGTTTGCCACCACTTTTTGTTTGAAACATAAAAACAGCAGTTTTTAAGGGGAGAGAAGATACTGTTAAAATTTATAGAAATATAACAAGTCAGTTGGTTATAAAACCTGTATGTGTTTTATTCGAATTCTCTTTAAAGTTTGTATTATTCATGAACAAGAAGGTTTTATAGTTTTTCTTCACTGAGACTTTGTTAGACTTATACAGAAAAAAATCGTGGGTTTTTTGTTATATAGTACATATTATACTTTAAAAATTTTTACATATACTTCTCAGTGTAAAATGTTAATATATTTAGCCATTACATTGAACTTTGAGGTCTATATCGCAATACAAGAAAGATGATATACGTATGATTTTTGTAGATCTTTATATGTTAGAATAGTATTGGAAAAAGAAAATACTATTTTATATAAACTACATATATTTTATATTTTCCTTTTAACATTTCTAAATCAAATATTTCAGAAATAGATAAGAATTCTAATTCATTTGGGCAACTTCAGACATGATATAACCTTTTTCTTATTCTCACAGGAGTGGTTAGAAAAGAAAAATGAGTATTTACATGAAATGCACAGAATAAAAAGAATTGAAAGTGAAAACCTGAGGATCCAAAATGAACAGGTATTGTGAAATAAAAAACTGAAAATTCATCTCAATTTTAATGTCAGTAAGATGTCACTAGATATTTAATGTAACCAAATCTACTGTTTTTTTTCATTTTATCTATTGTTTTTATTTCATGTATATGAGTGTATTGTTTGCATGCATGTAAGTGCACCCATGTTTTGCAGTGCACATGGAAGTCAGAAGATAGAAGATGGTGTCAGAAACCCTGGAACTGGTGTTCTGGGTAGTTGTTAACTGCCATGTGGGTGCTGGAAATCGAACCCAGGTCCTCTGCAAGAACAGCACTCTTAACTGCTGAGCCATCTCTCCAACTGGCCTGTCTCACAGAGCTCCTCCTACCTCTGCCCCCAGAAGGCTGGGATTAAAGGCCCACACCTAGCCACTGCGCATCCCTTAACTGCTTTTTTAAATGGTGAAATGTATGTATAAAAGAATTGATTTTTGATTTTTTTATTTGCCTTTTACTTTATATATTTTTAGTTTGACTAATTATTAGCTGTTCTACATAAAAACAGACACATAATTTCACTTTTATATGCATGGATAAATATGGCATGACTGATTGTGACTTTATATTGCTGTGACTACCTGATTCACTCTTAGAGACTGGTTTCAATTAGGACTTAGCCAAGAACATAGTCATCAGACATTGACCTTCAGTTTTCCTCTGTGCTGTCTTCAATGTAAACCCCTGCCGGAGCTCCTGACCACATTCTCCCTTCGCTTCAGTGGGCCTCCTGTCCAGCCCCTCTGGTGCTTTCACTCCTTCCCTGTCATCCACCTGTGGCCCACAGTATGCTCAGTAGATTAAGAAGGAAGCACTTCCAAAATGAACAGCCCTGTAGCTGGTCAGTTCTCTGTGGAGCTGGCCTCCAGGGGCTGTGCTGTGAGCATCTTTGTGCTGATCTGCACCACTGTGTATGTCCACTGGTACTTCTCCTTCTGAATTACATTACCTGCATGATGCAATTTATGTCTTGTAAGGTTAAATGATATTAGAGGTCAGACATTGGAGGTTATGAGATTAGATAGTTGTGAGTTCATAATATAGTTGCTATACAGCCCTCTGCCTGTTTTATAGTGTGACACACATTTTCAACATTTGGTATACATTTGTGTAGTAGGAATTTTATGCTCTGATATAATTTAAAACAGGGTTCATGCCAAACATCTGTACCTTACTTTGTGAATTTGCCTTCCTTTATAATCTTTTAACGTTCCTGATTTTTTTTAAAAAATTGATTTTTGCAGGCTGGAGTTGGCTCAGTGGCTAAGAGCACTGACCATTCTTGCAGAGGACCCAGGTTCAATTCCCAGCATCCACATGACAGCTAACTAACTGTCCCAACTTCAGTTCCAGGGGATCATCTGACACCATCATTTGACTTCCACAGGCATTGCACAACATGGGTGCACTTACATACATGCTGGCAATATACTCATAGAAAACAAAATAAAGATATCATTAAAAATTGTTTTTGATTTATTTGTTTTCACTTTATGTGTATGAGTGTTTTGCTTGCATGTATGTAAGTGCACTCATGTTGTGCAGTGTCTGTGGAGGTCAAAAGAGGGCATTGAATCCCCTGGAACTGGAGTTATAGATAGTTGTTATTAGCCACCATATGGGTGCTGGGAACCAAACCCAGATCCTAAGCCATCTGTCCAGCCCCTCTTGCCTTATTTTTTTATTGATCATTTTAAAGTACCATTTAGCCTATTACAGTTTATTTTGAAAACATTTAGCACACTTCCAGAGACTATAGTTGCTTCTTTCTGATGAATACTAAATAGGTCAATATCTGATGAGTGCTTTTGTAAAACTGCTTCTTAAAATGCAATGAATAATAGGGATAACAGTTTCTATAGGTCAGTTGATCTAAATCATTCTGAACAAATTATCTGCTTTGTAACTTTTATATATGAAAACTGTTGTGAGATTCAAGATAACACATGTGTAGATCTGTACCAATGTCTGTGCACCTGTCCGTACGTACATATATATACACCTACTGTTTTCCCAAAATAGAAAAAAGCGGCTAAGAGAGAGGAAGCTCTGGCGTCGTTCGAGGCCTGGAAGGCTATGAAAGAAAAGGAGGCGAAGAAAATAGCTGCACAGAAGAGGCTGGAGGAAAAAACCAAAAAGAAAACGGAGGAAGAAAGTGCTGTGAGGAAAGGAGAGGCCTTGCAGGTGTCCTGGCTTTGCACACTTCGTAGCAGTTTTAAATGTGCTGAATGCAGAGGTAGTGAATAATTCTGCTTTTCTGTGTTTTAGAATAGTGGTGGTAAGAACATCGTTCTGAACTTTTTCAGGCTTTTGAAAAATGGAAAGAGAAAAAGATGGAGTACCTGAAAGAGAAAAGCAGGAGGGAGAGAGAGTACCAAAGAGCCAAGAAGCAGAAGGAGGAGGAAGCGGTTGCTGAGAAAAAGAAAGATAGCTTAACTGCTTTTGAGAAGTGGTAATGCCAAGTAGGAGAACTGTGATAAGTTAACCTGGGGCTTTCCCTGATTTCTGTAGCTGAAATTCACTAGCACTTCTCAGTATCTTTATTTCCAAAGCTGTATTAGGGCGTCTTCGTTATATGTCCCCCTTAACCTCCCACGGTTTCATTCTGTCCTGCATAGGAGTGAAAAAAAGGAAGCGCTTTTTAAACAAAAGGAAAAGGAGAAGATAAACGAGAAGAGAAAGGAAGAACTGAAAAAAGCGGAGAAGAAAGATAAGGACAAGCAAGCCCTTAGCGAGTATGAGAAGTGGCTGGTAAGCCTGACGCGCTGTTACTGCTCGTACTGGTCGCTTGTGTTTTATGAAGCGCGGTTTCTTCCTTTGCTGCTGCTCGTTCCGTTGTTTGTCCCGCACCTACTGGCGTTTCTGCTGGAAACGCTGTAGGATTCACCGCTGCTGTGCAGTGAGTGGCTCCTTCACTGCTCATCTCTTGCTTCCACTCCCTGCAGCACCAGAGCTGCAGAGTTGCTGCGTTCCTATAGCCCCGCATGCCAGCTCAGTGCTGCCTGTCGTGCTGCCCCTCCTTAACTGCACTCCTTGCATCTGATGCCATAAAAGCACATAGGTGTACTGCTGAGGCTGCCCTGGCTGTTTCAGCTGGAACTGGTCATTGTGCATAATAGCATTGAACTTAATGGTGACAGGGTTCATCCACTGATCAGTGAGTGCATTTCTTCGTCTCTTGATGTTTCTATGGTCTGCAGAAGGTCTTATTTAGATACAGTTTAATGAAAGGGATCAACTTTGATGTTGAAAAGATGTCTAGCTAGACTTTCCTGCATTTATGTATGTATGTAGTAACATGTATATTTAGTTTTAATTTATATATGTTAATACGTTTGTTATTTCTGTCAGGCAAAATACAGTTTTCCCTTTTAAAACAAATATTTGTCAATTTTAAACTAAATAACTGTCATGAATATTGTACTTGGTACAAGTAAATGACATTCATATGAATTTTTCACTGTTCACCTGATTCAACAGGTGAATTAGAAAGTTTCCATAGTCTGTCTAGCAGTTTCTTACCAACTTGTTGATGTCATCTCAATTTGCTGTCTAAAAATCATCACCTAGGGTATCTTTTGACTTGCATATCTCAGATTGAACTTGAACACGTTTTCACTTGTGAAAGGTCTCTCCTTCCCTCCTTCTCTCTCTCTCTCTCTCTCTCTCTCTCTCTCTCTGTATTCTTTTCTTACTGATTCTAGAATCTTTTTTAGTAGAGAAATTAGTCTATAATTTCCAATACAAAGTCAATATTTTTTTGTGGGTTTTTTGCCCACTTTATTGTGTTTCCCAACTCTGCTTATAGTATCTTAGGCCATGTAGAATCCAGTTTTATTCTGGAGTATCAGATTTATCAGTCTTTTCTTTTGGCTTCTGATTTTCAAACCTAGTTGAAAAGACTCTCTCCATAAATTGAGATTAATTAAGTTCTCCCATTTTTCTCTTAATGGCTTTAATAGCTTCGTGTCTTAACATTTGCCCTACCTACAAGTGATTCTGTTGCGTGACATGAAAAAGATTTCAACTAATTTTTCCCCAGATACATCTTTTATAAATTAGTATATCTTTTACCTACTGATTTAAGTTCTTATCTTTAGTTTAAGATATATTCACATATTTGAGGGCTGTTTCTTGACCTTGTATTCCATTAGTCAGTCAGTCTCTAGTCTCT